AGATGTGTGGTGAGTATCTATTCGTATACAAGAACCCTGATTGTTTATTATCGCTTGTCGCAACACAACAAGCTCTCTGTTCTCACTCTGCTGGAAGTAGATTATAAGTACTTTCATGGTTAGCATCCTAATACCACAGCCAAGCAGTATCAAAAGCGTGAACCAACCATCGCGCTGTCTCGTTTGTAAGACGCTGACATATTTCAATTCATAAACGACTCCGAATCAGATTGTTGTACATTCAATTCTGAGAGTGGCGTTGAGGAAAGTGAATCAGAAATTGATTTCGACGAAGACCCATCATCTTGGTCGGCAACCTGGGGACCACCACACCAGCATGGCAAGAGGAGTGTGAAAAATTATTCAGGTGGAGCTGTGGGCAAACTGTGGCAAACAGTTATAGCATCTGTCGTCGAACCTGGAAATGGACAAATAAACTATTTTTCCATCTCCTGGATCTGAACAGTTACATCCTGTTGTCACACAGAGAATTTCGTCTCGCTCTTGTGCGTCCACTTCGCCCTCAACGGCCCAGGGGTCGAACCCCTGCCGTTTCATTGGAGATACCTCGATTAGAGGAGCTCAAACCACATCACTGGCGGTTGATTTCGACGAAGAACCATCATCTTGGTCGGCAACCTGGGGACCACCACACCAGCATGGCAAGAGAAGTGTGAATAATTATTCAGGTGGAGCTGTGGGCAAACTGTGGTAAACAGTTATAGCATCTGTCGTCGAACCTGGAAATGGACAAATACACTATTTTTCCATCTCCTGGATCTGAACAGTTACATCCTGTTGTCACACAGAGAATTTCGTCTCGCTCTTGTGCGGAACATGCTGGAAGGGGTCCACTTCGCCATCAATGGCCCAGGGGTTGAAACCCTGCCGTTTTATCGGAGATATCTCGATTATAGGAGGCCAAACCACATCACTGGCCGACTTCCTCTACTTCGCAATTGAGGTGTCGTGTGTGCTTTTTGCGTGGGAAACGAAGAACCGTCTAGACAAAGTGCGTGAAGTGCGACGTCGGACTCTTGATTTCCGGATGTTTCCAAGATTTCCACACAAAGCCAACATCGCGTTAGACGACGCTGGTGGGAAGAAAGACTACTTATAAAGCTGGTGACCAAAAATCATGTAAGTAGAAAAAGAATTTATAACTTAAAATTAGATTTTAAAAAGCCGGCCGCACGCGTGGACTGCGCGACGACATATGGCTTCATTCGTCCCCTTGACTTTATTTTCATGACGCCATATGGTGTCGCTCGGCTCTTAAAGGTTAAAAAGCCCAACTGCAGACAATATAGGTTACAAACCTATATCTACTGCCAGAAGACAATTTCAACTGACAATAATATAATTTCTTTTTTCATATATAATCTACTCTGCTGATGAATTTGTAAACTATACATAATTAAGAGTAGTGTGCACTGCACTGTGAGGTAATTCTAATTTAAGTATCATATGTCCTGTGTCAGAAACATCTGGAAAGTTTTGAAATGTGGTGTTGGAGAAGGATGGAGAAGATCAGTTGGACCCATTATGTGAGAAATGAAGAAGTGTTAATTAGAGTCAGTGAGCAAAGGAATATCCTACACGAAATAAGAAAATGGAAGGCTAATTGGATTGGTCATGTTTTACGCAGAAACTGCCTTCTAAGAGAAGTTATCGAAGGAAAGATAGAGGGGCGCATAGAAGTGACAAGAAGATGAGGAAGAAGACGTAAGAAGATGCTGGATGACCTTGGGGACAGAAGAGGATACTGTCATTTGAAGGAGAAAGCTCTAGATCGCATTAAATGGAGGTATTGTTTTGGAAGAGACTGTGGACCTGTCATCTTGACAGATTACTGATGATGATGATGATGATGATGTCCTGTGCTTGTTCTCCTATGACTTGTCTGTAGTGTTTTTTGCACACAGACTTTTTCCACATTCAAAATAGGCACGCTCTATGGAGTGGATATTATTAAGAAAGCAGTCTTCTGGGATTTGGCACTGTGTATATGTGGTGTTAACCGACGTTTCGGAGGAACGTATCGCCTCCATCTTCAGGGTAGAAGAAAAAACGTCGGTTAACACGGTGCCAAATCCCAGAAGACTGCTTTCTTCATAGTCACCACCGTGAAAGCCTCAAATCTTACATGGATATTATTATCTATACAAAAATTCAGCCTCATCCATCACAATAACAGCAGCTGACAAAAGTTATGAGAATGTGCGTTTCGACAAAGATTCATTTATGTGATCAAATTTTGCATCACATTCCCTTCTAAGTTAGTACACCAAAAAAAAAAAAAAACTCCCATGATTTTAGTGCGCAAGCAAACTATATTGAGTGAGCGACCGCTGCTTGTCAGCGAAGTTTAGTGCCAACTTTTGTGGATAGAGGGTGTTGGGTGGTCAGCACAATGAATCCCCACAGCCGTTAATTTCCGTTTTCTAGACCAGAGCCACTATTTCCTTGAAAGAGCTCCTCAATTATCATCACAAGGCTCAGTGGACTCCATTCCAGACCCACTACTCCTCAGAAAAAATCTAGTAGCGCCGGGAATTGAACCCGGACCTCTGGAGCTGTAGCCACAGAGGCGGTCTGAAATTCTGCAACCACACAAAGCACACCTGAAGCACTTATTTTGTAATTCTGCTACTCATCTGTTACAATTTTTGTTGATCTTCAAAGTATTATTACATTCCCTTCATTTGAGCTTCAATTTCATCTCATGAGAAGCAAGGGAACCACAGCTAGTTTCACTTGGCCACAATCACATGGATACACAGAGGGTGGACAAAATAATGGGAACACTAAGATATTGAGGAACAGAACTTGTTCATGTTAGCTACACTGAATGTTGTTCTTCCATTTGTTTATGCTCTGTAGTGTTCATGTTAGTTCATCAGTGATTGCGTAGAGTGAAAGAACTGGAAAATGGTAGACTCGTCAAATTTTGAAAGGACAGATCTTTGGTGGTGTTTAGATGGAGCATCTGTGACAATGACTGCCACATTATTGGGTGTATTGAAATCTACAGTTACTATGGTTAAAATATTAAATCACAGCATCCTGTTGCACTGCATAGATCTACCTTTGTGTTCTGCTTTTTGCCATCTATGTGCACTGTCGGTTAATATTCTCTCGTCGTTTTCTCCCTACTGTCACTACATGTTTTGGCACACACAGTTGTGATGAACGAATCTGCTTCTTACTGTAATCAAGGCAATTACATAAGAAAAGGAAAACAGCATTACAGTGAGCAGCAGAGCACTTCATCACAACAACCTGTACACCTGATGTGTACCTGGTGATGGCCGGTTAGGACGAAACATGTAGTGACAATAAAGAGAAAACGAGAGAATATTAACCAACGTTGCACAAAGACGGCAAAAAGAGGAATGCAAAGTCAGGTCTAACGTTATGTCGGCATACATGAACCATGGGAAGACATCACCCACACGAAGGAATGGTGGGTGAAAATCACCAGTGAGAGAAAGAGAACATCATACATTGAGAAGGATCATTTAAAAAAATCACAGAACTACTGAAGCACAGGTGACAACAGAACTGAATATTCATCTTGAAGACCCTGTTTCCACAAGATCTGTATGACGTGAGCTTCACAAATCCAATATCCACAGTAGGACTGCAATTGCTAAACCTCTGATTACTGAAAGTAACGCTCAGATTCGTAAATGATGGTGTCACAACCATAAAATCTGGACATCAGGCAGGTGGAAATGTGTGCATATGGTCAGATGAGTCCTTCACGCTGTTCCTTACATCTCTACATAAGGAGGAGTTTACGTCTGCAGAACACCCAAGGAGGCCCACAATCCAGAATGCATGGTTCCAACAGTGAAACACAGGAGAGGTTCTGTGATAGTTTGGGAAGCAATATCATGGTACAGTATTCTGTTGATCCTATTATTGCCCTCATGGCCGAATTACTGCAAGGGAATATACTGACAGGTTGTCTAATCAGGCGCATCCTATGATCCTGACGTGATTTCCGAACAACGATGCACTTTTCTGAGATGATAAAGCCCCCATCTATACAGCTGGAACTGTTCAGTCATGGTTTGAACAGCATGAACGCGAGCTTAAACATCTTCCCTGGCCAACACAGTCACCAGATCTGAACACCACTGAACCACTGTGGCCAGTTTCAGACACTAGCATGAGGAACACAGTCCCACCTCCAATATTTCTAAGGGAACTTGCAGACGTTCTTCAAGAAGAATGGTATAAAATTCCACTACAGATTGTTTGAAACTTGTACGAGTCCATTCCAAGAAGGACTGCAGCTGTACTGAAGACAAAAGGTGGTCCAATACCATATTAATAAGGAAATGCGCATAGTACCTGCAGTTCTTCCATTATTTTGTCCAATCCCTGTATATGGTGGGGTGAGCAGGCATACTGTCATGATGAACCTGCTCATCTCTACTTCTAAGGATGTTTTCTTGTGGATATTGCACCACATCCATAAAATACTAACAGTTTAGCCTAGGGAGACAGATTCACTGTGCAGAACCACAAACTGGCAGGGGGGAATCAACATGCTTGTGGAGTAATCATCCTTGTTGTTCCTACCTGTGAAACCTCAAACCACTCTCACAATTTGTGTGCTTTTCATTAAGCAGCTTCTCCAAAAGTTATCTGCAATGTGTGATGTTTTCTGAAGCTGTTTTACCAAGCTTGAAACAAAACTTGATGGAAATGTTTTAGTTTCTTGAATTGATCATTTAAAAAATACCATGAAACATATTGTACAAATTTATATTAGAACTTCACATATAATTAACATAATAATTAATATGTGAGGCAAAGTATCAGTGAAACTATACTCCACCACCGCCTAGCCTCAGTCATACTACTACCAGTGGTGTCATTATGGCAATACAGTCATAACTTCTGGGTACCATCTCATGGGCATCTACAACAGTAACACATGGAGCACAACACCAAATATAAAAATGTTCTATTACACTCAAACTAACCTGATACAGAGTCAGATGAATCCGTATAATCATCATATTCAAACCCTCAGAACTATCATCAAATTATTTTACCTTTGTACACTGGACCATTGCTGAAACCATGTCAAAGACATCTGTAACAAAGAAAAGAAACCAATAAGGATAAGTTTGTTTTTCTTTTTGGTTATTTAACAACTAAACTAAGGATTAAATCCTTAAAAAATGTGGCAAAAATATTTCATATTCTGAAATACTGCAACAAATCAAAATTATATCTGCCAATAAATTAAGAGCACACTAAATTCTCGGAATTCAAGCTATCATTCAGGTCATAATCTTTTACTTTCCTGCCTTAAAATACATGAAACCCTAACTCTGCATGTTTTGTATGGGTGTGAACCTTAGTTTACTCATACAAATGAAAGAATGTAGATTGAGGGTATTTTGGCCTTTACAGGAGAAAGTCAGAGGATATTACAGAAAACTGCATAATGAGCTCATTATTTATATTCTTCACTGATCAAATCAACAAGGATCGGATGCAAGGCCCGTGAAGCACACGTGGAAGAAATAAGAAATGCATACAAAATGTTAATCCATAAGGCACAATTTTTTATTCATAGACAACTGCTGTGTGGAAAAATAATTATCTCTCAAAGCCCATATATAATCTCACTGTTTCCTGAATAGTTCAAATACATCCAATCAGGCAGCCTGCTTTTACAACTGATAGGAAGGTAAATAAATTCCTATTGAGGAATCTCATATCTTGGGTCCCTTACACTCTTCTATTATATCAACAGTGCTACAAAGCAATGGTAATATATCTGTCCCAGTAAGACATATGATAGCATTCACTTAACTATAGGTATAAAGTAAAAAAAAAAAAAAAAAGTAAAGCTATCCCCGTACCAGGCCGTGAAGGCCCATAGGGTTGTGAGACGTGGAGGGTCCCACATGATCTAGACAATCGGCTCAAAGATGGCAGTAAGGCTGTCAGCCTTACGTGCCAGTTGCGTGTTCAATGAGGTCATTGGATTTTTTTCAACTGACCTAATCCTTCCAGCTGCACTATGGCCCTGGGGTTCACTCAGCCTCTAACAGAAATGAGTACCAGGAATTAACTACAAGTATATGAAGGGTTCTGATGCAACATCTAAAACAGTCAACAAATCGGGATATAACAACAGAAGAGTCTACTCCCCAAAACAGAACTGGTAAGAGACACATCTCACAACAAAAGAAGGCAATCTCCAAAGGATTAATAACTGGTTCAACATACAATAATTTTAGGTAAATTTTTGTAAGCAATCACAATAATATAAAATGATTCCATAAATAAGGGGGCAATATTTCGGAGAAAGGTGCAAACATAAACTCACGAATTTGGAAAACAAGCAGACTACCTGAACCTGTCACGTCTTGCTAAACACATATTCTGCCAGCATAGAAGTACCTAAACCTGAATGTGGAATTATTCATTTCCTGGTAGCCTACTGAGTCAAATCTGCCAATATTTATCACCAAATGAAATAGGGTTATGAACAGTACCTACAGGAACATTAGAAACGAGGTGCAACCACTATACCCTACAAACAGAATATGCAAGTACATAATAAAAACATACTTCTTTGACACCATGAAAAAGGTTCTTCAAGGAAAATACAAAAAAAGTGACGACTTTCTTCTCTGATCGCGTCAGACCACTGGAATTTGAGATTTCTAGAAAATGAATGCACGGAGATAACACAAACCATAATCCAGAGTGTGCATGACAAATCCAAACAACCTGCTGAAGACCAAAGAAGCTTCCTGTTACACACAACCATTCCCTCACCGTTCACACTACACGACATCTTAAGAGGAAACAGGGGTACTGGACTACCCTCCACACAGTTCTGAATAATCCTTGAGTTTCACATTTTTATGCCATTAAAGGAAGAAGTGGAAGGTCAAGGACACCATTTGGATAAACATAAGGTCAACATCATAACTTCCTGAACCATTATCTCTTGATGACAATGGCATGTCAAACAATGGGGAATACAATAATTTCTTTAATAAAATTTTGATACACATTTTCCATTCTGTCCACTTAGATATTGTACAATGATGAATGTGTCTGTCCTGTCACCAATGTCAAATCAGAACATCGGAAATGTGAGAAGTGGATCATAAGTTTCTTTCTTTAACAAACTGGGTATGTACTTTCAAACCTGTGATAAAAATGTTTTGTTTCGGAATTCCTAACAATTAACCAATGTAATTTTCTGGGGTCAGGTACACTGAGTATGTCAGGTGACATATTACGAGTGCACTTTTTGCGACTACAGTGCTTCAATCCTACCATTTGTATTTCTTTAAGTTAACTTCTGCACCTGACAAGCAAAGAGGTAACCTATGTAATAATATGAATTTTCATTCTCTCTAACCTAAGTGTGCATATACTTGTACACGATGTAAAAATTACTACATACCTAACATAATATGGAGAATTTACGTAAATTCAAGCTATGTATCTGTACTTTCTGGGTTCTGCTGTCGTAACACAGAAACATTGTTCCGTGTTAGTGCAGCCCTTGATTTATGGGTTCGTGATAGATAAACGAAAATGTTTACAGGTAAACAGAAAGTACAGATTTCACTAACCTTATAAAATATTATCTGTCAACTTTTCTTTCACAAAGAAACAGCGTATTGCTTTATAATTTCGTACAAACCAGATCATTACAACAGAAATGCCAATATGGCGTCAAACGCTATAATCAAACCATATCGATATGACGAAAGATCGAATGTACCTCAGACGAAAGAGATGAACTAAGTTACATAGTACTCCGTGTATGTTACAGTCATCTTGTATGTGACGCCGTGTAGTTTTGTAGATGGGTAACACGGAATTTAGTAGTCCGTGTGTGCCGACGTCAAGAATGGTGGACTTGTACTTTCACTCCCCCTTGCGTCTTCATGACTTTGTGCTTAATCAGTTAAGCACAGGGACAAATTTACACAAGTTTTGACCTATGAAAAAGTAACTACCGTTCCCAGCAATGATACGTATAGAACGCATTTTAATAATATGTAGTTGGTTGAGGCACTATGCTACAAGTCCCGATGAGGTCACTGGATTTTTTTCAATTGATCTAATCCTTCCAGCCGCACTATGACCCTGGGGTTCACTCAGCCTCTAACAGAAATGAGTACCAGGAATAGTCTTGGAATATTCTTGGGGTAAAGGGCGGTCGGGGCGTAGGGCTGACAACCTTGCTGCCATCTATGAGCCGGTTGTCTAGAAAATGTGGGAACCTCAACATCTCACAACCCTATGGGCCTCCACGGCCTGTTACAGGGATACTCTTACTTACTTTTAATTTTAAAGAGTATTATTAGGTCACCCAAAAATTTCTACTGATTAGGAGCGTCTAACTAGTTCTGCTCGTATACAATAATTTTCACCCTAGCATAAAAAATATCGAATCAGTATTCGTAGATAACATTTCAGTACAATATAAACTCATGTGCATAGTGTTCCCTACTGGGTGCATTCTGTTCCTTACTTACGGAGCTGAGCCCTTCTTGAGGAGAAGCCAGATCTGCAGCTATTCAAGAATTTCCCAGCATTTTATGAAACCCGAAGGTTCATTACCGTGTTCACAAGAGCCCTCCACTGGTCCCTATCCTGAGCCAGCTCAATCCAATTAATACCATCCCTTCCTATCCCTCTAAGATCCATTTTAATATTGCTCTCCCACTTATGCCTTGGTCTTCCCAGTGGTTCTTTCCTTCTGGATTTCCCACCAATATCCCATATGCATTCCCTTTCTCCCCCATTCGTGCTACGTGCCCTGCCCACTTCATCCTCCTTGATTTGATAATTCTAATTATACTTGGAGAAGAGTACAAGTTATGAAGCTCCTCATTATGCAGTAAATATACATGTTACGAAACTAAAATCATTGTGTCTCTGGGCAACAAAATAAAATATGCGTAGCAAGGCTAAAACAACGTATTTTATTTATTCCTGTTGCTTATTATCAGTCTCACGTGCAACTTAGTTTTAAAGTTTTTAAAGTGTTATGAATGTTCCATACCCCCAAAAATAAACGTGTTATGAACATTCATAACAGCTACACACGATACTACGAGGAAATACCCATCATTACAGGACATATGGGCGCATAGATGAGGGCGTAACCCAAAAATTAAACTTAGGGACGGAGGCACAGTACCTTCATCAGCAATTATAGACACCCTAAAGTGACCGCTGTTGATGGAAATATGTCGTGTGTAGACAGAAGTGATGCAGAAGAGTTTTTAACGTTTAAAACTTTTAACAGTTTTAGAAAGCAATTTGCATGTGAGATGGGTAATAATTATTAGGAATAAATATGTGACGTGCAACAGGATGCTACGATACAATATAACATATTTTATATATATTCGGGCTTACCTTCCTCTTCTTAATGGCGCAGACGAAGATCCACGCCAAGCTACAAATTAAGACTGTCGTCACACACAAGAGAATTTGCGCGTTTTCCGGACTACCGAAATACGGTCACTGTAACACACTACAGGTGAATTTGTGAGTTTTTCAGTTTTCGCGAACTTTAAGATGTGAAACTTATCAGTAAACTACGTTTAACGTTGACGCGTAAAAAGCAACTTCTTTATCGACACACGATTTCAAGCGATGCCGTCCAACGCCCAAGAAGAATAACTCGTACTGTGACCCGACACAATGCTGACTGAAAGTTTAAGTACTCGCTCAAAGACGCCACAGTTTCAGATAACTCTGTGTGACGCCAGCAAGAGAGTGGACAGCAGAGGGTGGTCACCGAATAGAATCACGTCCTACCCCTCTTGTTCGTATTGAGGCTTCTTTCCCGCGGCTTACAGCCAATCACAGACTTCCTCCTACATTTTGGCACCTCCTCTAGGAGTAACAAAGGGATGATAGGTGTAGATTGGTGCGATGGTCTAAGATTCACGGGGTCCATCGCACGAGGACTTTCTTGGAACCTATACGGCGTACTTACTTACTTACTCATGGAGCTGAGCCCTTCTGGAGGAGCCGCCAATTCTGCAGCTACTCAAAAATTTCCCAGCATTTTATGGAACCCGAAGGTTCATCACCGTGTTCACAAGAGCCCTCCACTGGTCCCTATCCTGAGCCAGATCTATCCAGTCCATACCATCCCATCCTGTCTCTCTAAGATCCATTCTAATATTGTCCACCCACCTACGCCTTGGTCTTCCCTGTAGTCTCTTTCCTTTTGGCTTTCCTACCAATATCCCATACGCATTCCTCGTCTTCCCATTCGTGCTACATGACCTGCCCACCTCATCTTCCTTGACTTGATCATTCTAATTATACTTGGAGAAGAGTACAAGTTATGAAGCTCCTCATTATGCAGTTTTCTCCAACCTCATGTCACTTCATCTCTCTTCGGTCCAAATGTTCTCCTCAACACCCTGTTCTCAAACACCCTCAGTCTATGTTCCTCCCTTAATGTCAGAGACGAAGTTTCACACCCATACAGAACCACAGGCAAAATTATAGTTTTGTATATTCTAATTTTTATGTTTTTGGGCAACAGACGAGAAGACAAAAGGTTCTGGACTGAATGGTAGCAAGCATTACCCGAGTTCAATCACCTCTTAATTCCCTCCTTAATCAAGTTTCGATCTGTTATCGTTGTTCCCAAATATTTGAACTGTGCCACATTTTCAAAACATCTGTTAGCTATCTTTATGTCATGATTTCGCCCTGCATTTTGGTGACGAGACAGCAACATATAACATGGACTTATTTTTCTCTGTGTTTACTTCTAGACCAACCTCTTTACTTGCGTCAATTAAAGTTTGTGTGTTTTTCTTTATGGTATATATATTACATGTACAGCGTAGATGAAATAATATTTACAATAGGGAAACATTTATAGAAAGATATGAGAATCTTAAAAAAATCGCTCAAATGAAATATTAAACACATAAATTAATAAAAAGAAAATGTTGCCTCGACCGATACTTGATATGTCAGTTATAATTTCACCCTGATCTTTAGACAAAAATTTTGTTGAACAATGAAGAGGAAACAAGAAATTTCAACACTTCTTTGAACGGATTTTACACCGTTTTCCAGAAAGACGATCACTTCGTCATATCTTAATTCATTTCATTTTCTAACACTTTGGGATAATGGAATACTCGTATATGGATACATACAAGAGTCGCTATTCAACTGGAAAAGACTTGTTAATTACGTTAATTCGTATATCGCCTTGGGATGGCTTTATGAGCCGAAGCATAGCGACATCGCTTTCTACAGCAATGAAACTTAGTTGCACACAACGGAGTGTGAGCTATTTGGTGAGCTGTTGTGTTTGACAGGAATTATTACAGAAATTTATGTAGTAGAATTCAGGGTTTAAACATCTGTCTAATAACAATAATAATAGTAATAATAACAATAAAAAAGTAAAGCTATCCCTGTACCAGGCCGTGAAGGCCCATAGGGTTGTGAGACGTTGAGGGTCCCACATTATCTAGACAATCGGCTCAAAGATGGCGGTAAGGTTGTCAGCCTTACGCGCTGGCCGCGCTTTACTCCCCAGGAAGATTATTTAATTAGTTCCTGGTACTCATTTCTGTTAGAGGCTGAGTAAACCCCAGGGCCTAGTGCCGCTGGAAGGATTAGGTCAACTGAAAAAATCCAATAACCACATCGGGACTTGAACCCGCGACCTTTCGGCTTGTACCATAGCCCCTCAACCACTACGCTACTGTATACCCCCAATAATTGATTGTTTTTTAAGAATTTATGAGGCAAGTACGTGCAGGATTTTATCAGTTGGTAGTTCAGTACTGAAGCGTTCGTAGAATTTTTACTCGCGCTACTCCAGTGCGTGCCTCCTAGTTTGGGAACCACTGCATTAAGAAATGCTTTGGAAAAATGATAAGGGTTATATGTCTTAGGAAGACCCCTTGGAATTCGGGTAGCTATGCGGCAGCTTAGTTCGCTTACCGATAAATCCGGCTCTGGATATATGCGAAACGAACTGCGCTCTGTGCCTCTTTCAGACATGCCAGCATTTACTGCGCTGTGGTTGCCATCATCTTCTTCAGATGAATTGGCATTATTTCTTCGGCCATCAGGACCAGGGATTGGTATGTTTTTTAGTTGTTTGCCCGCAGTTGAAATTTCGGAGTGCTTTACCACGTAGGAACCAATTTTAATTTTATTTATTTATGGTTCATGTAGAGACGCTGTCAACATCCAGACTACAAGACCATCTTGCTGTAAAACTGTCTGCAGAAAACTGTTCCCGTTTGCTTCTCTAGTCTGAAGCCAGTAGACACTGCGTCTGTTCAGTTGCAAATTGGCGCAGCATAGCTCAAATATGTGTCCAGTGGTCATTCAATGATTTACTGACAAATGTCGGTCTTCTTTTTATGAGATTTCAAGAACTTGGTAGTACCTACTGTAGTAGAGAGTAACATGTTCTTCAGTCATAGTCCAGCAACCGATAACAACCGGGATAGCTCAATCGGTATAGCGACGGGCTACAGACTGGACGGCCGGAGTTCGATTTCCGGGAGGGGAAAGAAGTTTCTCTACTCCAAAGCGTTCAGACGGACTCTGGAACACACACAGCCTCCTATCCAATGATTTTCGGGACTCTTTCTCCGGGGTATAGAGCGGCCGGAGCGCGAAGCTTACCACTCATCTAGTGCCGACGTCAAAAATTGTGGAGTTATGTCTCCTCCGCATGTTTTCGTGGTATAATGCTTAAGTAAATGAGCACAGGGACAATTTCAGCAATAAATATTTCATTTTAGCATTATATAGTTTGTGTAAAATTTCTTCATTTTATTCCATCTCCACAATAAGAAGTATGGATACACAAAATGGTCGTCGTTTCTTACATGTGTCGGCCCATAACATTACTTTTTTTTTTTACCACCAATCCATTAGGAAGACTTGAACCAATCCGTCATCACTTCAAACAGACTTTCTAGTGATGGCTTAAATGTAAAACTAGTGAGTCACACAGGCACCAGATTTCCGAAGTCAGTATAGACCACACTTGTTATTTTGTACTCCTGTACCAGGCATTAGAAGCTGTGAATGCAAGAATGAACTAACTCCTTCGAGACAAATCCTTCACGTTGAACGGGAAGGCGTTCATCTATTAAAAAATTTCTCAATATTTTATGGAACCCATAGGTTCATTATCATGTTCACAACAGTTCGTCATTGGTCTCTATCCCGAGCTAGATGAATCCAGTCCATACCATCCGAAATGCAATGACAAGGAATTCTGGGGAGCTGCACAGAAGAAATTATCGTCTTATCTCTCTCATTGGTACTTTTTGTTGTTGTTGTAATATCTGACATGCTTTGGCGTGATGCTAATAACTGAACCATAAGCAATATAACAAGATAGATCTCACCAAGATATGAACTTACATAAAATCATGTGAAATATTTTTGTTGCTCATACAAGGGACTAGAAGAAATAAAACGTATAATTCTGTGTAATATGTACTATATCAACTGCTGATTACCTTGGTCAAAAATAGAATTTGTGGCTCTGTAAATGTGGCCACTTACCTCCATATAGTGTTAGGAGTAAGAATACGTGGAGCTATACCCCCACTCCCATATATGTTTTCATGGTGAAGTGTTTAATTAATTAAGTATAGTAAGTAAATTAAGAGCAGACTGAATTCGTGTAACGCTTGCTACAAGTCGGTTTATAACGTTTTGTTTTATCATCTGCTGTCTAAAACTTAAGATGCAGTATATACAGGATTATAAATTTGCCTGTGGTTTTACAAGTGTCTGAAACTTGGTCTCTGACATCAAGTGAGGAACATACACTGAGGGTGTTTGAGAACAGGGTGTTGAGAAGAATATTTGGACCGAAGAGAGATGAAGTGACAGGAGGTTGGAGAAAACTGCATAATGAGGAGCTTCATAAATTGTACTCTTCTCCATGTATAATTAGAGTGATCAAGTCAAGGAATATGAGGTGGGCAGGCCATGTAGCACGAATGGGGATAAGAATAATGCATATATGATTTTGATGGGAAAGCCAGAGGAAAGATTCCACTTGGAAGACCTAGACGTAGGTAAGAGGATAATAATACGAGGGTTGGAACTTTAATAGTGGCAACTATTTATTTACAACTGATACAGTGGACCTTAGAATATATAGTATGGAGTGTTGGATTGATCTGTTTCAGGATAGGGACCAGTGCAAAGCTCTTGTGAAGAGGTGATGAACTTTCGGGGTCCATATATTGGAAAGTTCTTGAGTTGTCGAGACTGGCGACTTTTCAAGAAGGACTCAGTTCCATGGAGTTAGTTAGTGGTAACATTTACCATTAGGAGCCGGGATAGCTCATTCAGTATAAGGAGTAGCTACGGGCTGGAGGACGGAGGAGTCGGAGTTCGAGACCCGGTGGGGCAAGAATTTTTACTTCTTCATGTCGCCCAGACCGGCTCTGGGGTCCACCCAACCTCATATACAGTGCGTATAGGGGGCCCTTTCCTCGGGGATAAAGCGACGGGGCCGTGAAACTGACCACTCACCTCCAACTAGTGCCTAGGTTAAGAAAATCTGGATCTATACGTCCACTCTCCCATAAGCCTTCGTGGCAGAGTGCTTAATTGGTTAAGCACAGGGACAAATTTACCTTTTAACAGTTACAATTAACTCGTGGAATTCTGTAGCATCAGGACGGCGCTGGAAAACCCCGCTCTTTCCCTTACCTTAGCATGCTCGCTGATACCAGCGCCTTGCTGAAAGCGTTCGCCTTTTGGCAGGCGCAGTGCAATAAGCTCCAATTGATTGCGGCAGCCAGGCGTCGACATGCCGGGAAGCTGGACCGCTGGGGATGCTGTGTTGCAGATACCAGCAAAGGTGACGCCTGGTGAGTACTTGCACGTTGCTTAGAGACTCGTGGATTTGTTATTAGAAGTAGGTGAGAGGATTTGGGAAGGCATCTCCACCTTGATATTACATGTAAACGGTCTTATTGAAGATGACCCAAATTGGAATTCCAGCTGCGGGCTGAGAAATAAGGCTGGGCACAGATATATATATATATGTGATCGTTTTCACGTAAACGTGTACGCGCTATGATTATTTCACAGAGGAGAAGTGTCCCGGAAATAAATGTGGTTCATTATTCTTGTGAAAGCGTTTCTGCCTATTGTATTACCGCGCACTTCCGAACTTCTAAATCAACAAAACGATCTGACTAAGATGTAACAATAGCAATAACAGTAAAAACAATATATTATAATCACTATTATTATCATCATGAGGGGCCCTCAATGTCTCACAACCCTATGGGCCTTCACGTCCTGGTACAGGGATAGCTTTATTTTTTTATTATCATTATCATTAACACCAGTGGCAAAGAGCCCTTCTCGAGCCATAGCCTTCCTTAGAAAATTCTGACAGATTTGTCTACTCTGTCGTGAATTAGACGATCCAGTTTTCGTTCTTTGAACTTCGTGACAATAATTTATTTGCGGCAAGGTCATCAGCCTTGCCTCCAACCCCAAAACCCTGATGACAGGGTTTTCCACTTATACCCCCAGGCACCTAATTTGTTTGCGGCAAGGTCATCAACCTTGCCTCCAACCCCAAAACCCTAATGACAGGCTGATATATTGGGTTTTCGGACTTTATCCATCGTCCTGGTTTTTAAGATAACTAATAAAAACGTCGTGTTTTTATTAGTTATCTTAAAAACCAGGACGATGGATAAAGTCCGAAAACCCAATATATCAGTGTGTTATACACCATCGTCAGAATCCTATAGTAACTACTCCTAATGACAGGGTTTTCCACTTATACCCTCAGGCACCTGGTTTCCTTTCCTTCGCCGTCCGCAAGGATAAGTGGAGTTAGTCCGAACCGCTTCCAAATGGAAATGCGATGACTCACATAAAAAAAAAATCAATAGAAAAGAGAAGTTCTGGGAAGAACTAATCTCCCGCTTTCCTTTTATAAAATACGTTCCTCATAAAAACGACACGTCCAATAAGTCTTCTGTTGTTGCGTGTGTATATGTTGCCGCGGTAATGCTTTTACTGAGCCGTTGCTAACAGCGATGGAAGGGACACACATACAAACACAGAGACTTATATGAGGGATTTATGAAGTATGCCGTTAATATGGGCTCAGCTGCCATGATATACATATCAAATTTCAGGCTTTCAAAAGTTATTACGAGGGAACACACAGACAATTTGGCGATCTCATAAACTTAATTTTATTTTTTTTCAAATTAATGAAAGTAGGCTAAAAATGATGATTGCTCTGAAACTATTGTGTTCACCAGTTTGCCATAGATTCCCCTATGCTGTCCTGTGGTGAGCGTATGCTTTGTGATAGTGGCTATTATTCTCGTGACACTTTGAATCGCACGCTAAACCCTGGCATAGAATCTGGGATTCCAAACTGTTTTCTTATAAACAGCTCAACGGGCTCATTCAGCAGACACCCGGAGCTCTGTGCCGTCTTTACACGAAGTCCAGAGAATGAAAGCATATTATGAGGTTCACGTGCGCCCATCCACATATGCATTTCGTCTCCAAAATAATACAACTGATCTAGATTGCACTGGGAGCACGTGGTAGCGTAGTTGGTTGAGGCACTATGCTACAAGCCGGAAGGACGCGGGATCGAATCCCGGTGAGGTGGATTTTTCAATTGACCTAATCCTTCCAGCCGTACTATGGCCTTGGGGTAGACTCAGTCTCTGACAAAAATGAGAACCAGGAATATTCATGGGGGTAATGGCCGGCCGGAGAGCAAGGTTAATGACCTCACCGCCATCTGTGATCTGATTTTCTAGAAAATGTGGAAGCCTCAACATCTTACAACCACATGGGCCTCCACGGTCTGTTAAGGCGATACATTCACTTTTACTAACTTACTAGATTGCATTTGGTAACGACAACTTTGTTAAATGTCTTCGACTCAACTTCAATTTCGTCCCTACGTTTTCGTGGAGTACACCGCCCAAACCTTGTATTCCATAACCTTACATGAAACAAGAAGTTAGGGAAGAATTAATCGCCTTCTTCCCTTTGATAAGAAATTATAAAAAGTATGAGAGGTAAAGCTACCTCTGTAACAAGTCGTGAAAGTCCATAAGGTTCAGAGAAGTCGAAGCTCACCACATTTTCTGGACAATCGGATCACAGATGGCGGTAAGGTGACAAGAAATGGTCCGCACAGAAAACGAAAAAAGAAATTAAGAGGAACATGCAGACACACACAGACAGCAAGGTGATCTCATAAGCCTCCTAACAAAACTTAGAGCAGATATGAGTACATAGATGAGAAGGTAATCTTTTAAGCGTAACAAGCGTAGAAATTACAGGGAGATACACAGACAGATGGACAGACACGGACACACAGGCAGACAGCAAGGTGATCTCATAAGCCTCCTTTATTTTTTCGAAATATGGAAAGTAGGCTAAAAGTACTTCTCCGGTTGCTTCACGAACGGCTGCGAAACGCCGTGTCTTCTTGCGGAGAAGAACATTAATTGAGAATGCGTAATATTTCAGTGAGAAGAAAATATATTTAAGGATATATTCAGTACAACTATTGTGTTCCTGTACAAAATATATTTATTTAAAACACACGACAATTCGGAGACTGGATTCTGCCTCCATCTTCAGGTCCGGAAATAGACACTAGCTATATCTTTTGGTCCCAACTGAGTACGTTCCACCTGAGGACGGAGACCGAATCCAGTCTCCGAAACGTTCTATTTTAAATAAAAACAGGATGATGGATAATGTCCAAGAACACAATAGTTGTATTAATATGTCATCGTCACAAACTTTTAGATCTTACATATTTTGTAGTTCATTTAGCGAAAATGCGTTGCATCAAAATACTTACCATCGAATGATATGACAATGTGAATAATGAACTGGAAAACATGTCGAAAGAAGTAATCGCGACATATTTTCATATACTACCCCGGCTTGGAGCGACTGAGGAAAGCCACAGAAACCTCATTTAAGGAAGTCGATGTTCTAGCCGAGATTCGAGTCGGGCACACCCCAAATAAAATCAGAAGCGTCACCGCTTGGTGAGGCACGTTAGGCGTGGAGGAACGACAAGGAGATCTATTTCACGATTCGTTCTTTCTTCATGGCATTTTTACAGCACGAGGTTAAATTGGGCTAGACATGTAGCTCGGATGGAGGAAGTGATAGATGTATAGAAAATTTTGTGAAACCAGTTGGAATCTGGCCACATAGCACCGATATGTGGGGGAAGACGCCTGGACATATCAGCAGCATACCACAAGTGGACTTCTCGTGAGTTCAACCTCAATATGAGATGGCCATTACCTCTCAAATATTGTAGTGCTTGAATTTAACGTTTATTGGAAGAAACGTTTACTTACTGACTTTACTTTTCGTCTCTAATGTTAATCCACAAAAGTATTTAAATTTATGACACGTCATAAATCAGTGGGGGTTAGATGCTGATTTCTTATCGTGAGCGCCGCGTTCAAACCCTGACGATCTTATGTGGGGTTCGTGTTGGAAGAAATGGAAATGGAGCAGGGCTTCTCCGAGTTCCGTTGCTCCGTCCTGCTGATTATCATTCCACAACTACTCCTTATTCACCCGTCACGGTCTGAGGTGTGCGATTACCATCATCAGGCAGCACCTTATCACATTCTTGACCTTAAGGTGGGGACTTCGTCTCTAAACAAACACCAAAATGCTTAAAGAGTAAGAAAGTAAAGTCCTTTGAGGTTCTCACATCGGTGACTACGAATGGTACAGTCTTCTGGGATGTAATTCCGTTTAGTCCGGTAGAAATTCACCACGTGACAGTACAACGTCTGCTTATGCAACTCATATGGCGACCACGCTGCTTAACTGGACACATACCTGACTGAATTCATAAAGGTGACAAGTAAATTTGTCCCTGTATTTATACAATTGAGCAGCACGTCATAAAGACGTATAGGGAAGCAGATATATAGCTTCACCATTCTTCCCCCGGCACTAGATTGAGGTAAGATACCAGATTCATGCCCAGGCCGCATTACCTCCAGGGATTGAACCCCCGGTACCCATTGGACAGGTTGATTAGTGGGCCCCATTGCCTGTCTGGACGCTGTGGAGTAATATATATTCTATTGTAAGATTTGAGGTTTTCAGGGCCGTGACCATGAAGAAAGCAGTCTTCTGGGATGTGGCACCGTGTAGATATTGGGTTAACCGACGTTTCAGAGGAACGTATCGCCTCCATCTTCAGGGTAGAAGAAGAAAGAAAGTCGGCGAGGGAGGAACCAGCATTAGCAGGAGCTAAGAGTCTAATTAGTCTCTTAGCTCCTCAATAGCGGATTTCCTTTTTTCTCTACCCTGAAGATGGAATCGATACGTTCCTCCGAAGCTTCGGTTAACACAATATCTACACGGCGCCACATCCCAGAAAACTGCTTTCTTACTATATTCTACTGTTCCTGTTGGGAATCAAATCCCGACTCTCCAGCCAGGAGCCCATTGCTATATCGACTCTGCTTGGTTTAGTTCACAAAAGACACAAAGGTTTGTTTTCCCCTAACCTTGAGGAAAACGATTTCTTGTCTAAAAATAAGGAGAAGGGTTTCTCCGGCGTCATTAGCACAGTTAGTTAGCCTGTTGTGTTCTGAAAGGTAAAATTTTCTAGGAATGAAAGGGTCGTGAATAGTAAACAGCTCCTGGAATGTTAAAAGCTGTTAAAAGGGTTGTAATAACGAGACAGCATGATCGCATTGCTGTACTTGAGGTCCAGATATCTGTAAATATGGAAATGTGCTCACATGTTTTAGCTGCTGTTGTACTGAACATCCCAAACATGACTCATTAGAGGAAATATGTTTTTGTGTGTACAAAG